CGATTGTACTGTTGACGCTGTTCAACATAACAAAGGGACTTGAATAAATTAATTGCGTGGTACGCCATCTTGCTCAAGTTAGCACCCACTTTCGACGAAACTGCTAAGTTTTGTCACGTTTTAGGAAACAACCCACCAATTTTTCACGATCTAACATTCCACGCATATCAGATACTTGTATATGTACAAAGTATGATCGAAATGGTCGACATTTTGTCATTAATTTGCTGTTTATCTGTGGCCAAATTCGGAAAAACGTTTTATTGAGTTTTTATGGAAACTAATTTTTGACTATCATAACTATTGAAGATGTCATCTTTCAACACTTTTCTCTATGCTAACGATGTACAAATTACACAATCTATTGGCCACAAAAATGTGAGCCGTTGGCGTTGAGTTACGGCCTTGGAAACAGGAAGACGTTCGTAAAATTTAGTCCATAAAGTTCAACAGGCTTTATCTCCAGAACTATGGGACACATAAAAATTTCGAGACGCATTCTCAAAGATCATTATCTTATAAAGCAACAGTGAAAAGATCAGAAACATAGAAAAAAGGAACACCGAGGAACGGCCAATCCCGCAAAAAAACTCTTTGTTTAGGAGGTTAACGGGAACGATCGTAACTTAATCTCTTGAGCAAATATCAAGACGAAACATATATGATCGTAATCTGCTATATCTCAGCTTTCTGAAAACATATACATTGCCATAACTGCATGCTTAGTAACTGGTGAGGAAAGTCCTAAACTCCATTAAACTATAAATTATGTTTCCCCTCTCGCTACCTTAAGTCATGAGTATAAATGAAGATCATGTTTTGTTGAAATCATTAGAAGCGTCAACATTTTAATCTGAAAGCTGAACACTACTAATAAAAGCCAAGTCTTAAAAGGGAAAACAAATGCAATATATCATCTGTCAGTAAAAAGCATCTTCCTCCTGAAACTTTCCCACATAAATGCAGTTTTGCCAACCATACCAAAATTGTGATTATTTTGAAATGGGGTTAGCTAGGCTATAGGATCCATTAGTATAGCAACAATATGACTTGGAAAAAAAAAAAAAAGTTTTTTTTCTGTTTTGAATCTGTCCAGTTAAAGGCCTATGAGTAATATCTTTAGAGTCATATTATTTTCAATAGAACCTCTCTCTCCTTCTTTTTCTGGAAAAGGTTAATGATGCATACAATTACTTTATCCTACAAGGGTGATGTCAGAAATTACCAAAGGTGCCATTAGTAGTGGTCAGAGGTCAAGTAGAGACCCAGCCATCAGCCACTGAGGCAGAACAAAGTGGGCCGTTTAAGAATTGAATTACATTAGACTTATTTGATAGTTCCTGTCATAGTACATGTACTTGTAGTGATATCTGTTTACACTGTAAATTGTTGGCCCACTTATTACTGTATAGATGTAATCTATTCTTGTCATGCTAGTGATGTGGGTTACACAGTCACCAGTTTTGCTCTGTATACCTCCTCAGTGTATTCTGACTACATTCCAGATTCATTGCATACCGCATCTCAGAGAGCTAGCTATCTGCTTGCTATTAAAATAGTCTTGTATATTTGCACAAATAGATAGAAATAAACATTATAGCACCATACACATTGATTTGTGACAATGTTTAATAAACAATAGGAAAACATTTAGTGGTATTGTGTCCTCCTATTTCAAAAGCATTACTACAGTATATATAGATATATCAACTGTCACTTTAGAGTCCATACAGAGCAGGAATTGGTGGAAGAAAGAAATGATAGGTCATTGATAACACTTTGAATGGTATAATCAATTGGTGTCTTCTAAAAACAGTCCATGATTCCAAGCAATTTGCATCCAAATAAGTCATCCACTTTGTAGCTTGATCCAGCTGTACCATTATAAGGACCTTGTGATCAAGTTACTTTCAAACATACACATACATGTACTCAATAGTAACATAGCCTACTGTAAAACACTTGAAATAGCTACATGCCATTTTAGCAAATTGGCTAAATGCACAAATTAACAGAATTTAATTTGACTGAAGTGCCAACAATCTTATTGTGACTATGTAACTTTTTTAGCTCCGCTGTCGACTTTGTCGGGCGGAGCTTATCATATGAGTGATTGTCCGTCGTCCTTGTCAATGTTTTTATTTTTTTTCTTCTTGAAAACTACGAGCCTGAATGCTTTGATACTTGGTGTATATGTACCTTGGGTAAACCTCTCTCAGATTTGTTCATTTCATGATCATATCTTCAATTCTCTAATTTTGGTGAATATTTTTGTCATTTTTGGTAAAAAGTGATATTTTCGACTTCTTGTTAAAAAACGCAAGTCCAATTGCTTTGATATTACATATATAGGTAACTACATGTGGACCTCTCTCAGATTTCTTCATTTTGTAATGATTTCTTTAATTCTCTAATTTTGGTGAATATTTTTGTCATTTTTGGTAAAAAGTGATATTTTTGACTTCTTGTTAAAAACCGCAAGTCCAATTGCTTTGATATTACATATATAGGTACTACATGTGGACCTCTCTAAGATTTGTTCATTTTGTAATGATATTATTAATTCCCTAATTTTGGTGAATATTTTTGTCATTTTTAGTAAAAAGTGATATTTTTGACTTCTTGTTAAAAACCACAAGTCCAATTGCTTTGATATTACATATATATGTACTACATGTGGACCACTCTCAAATTTGTTCATTTCATGATATCTTCAATTCTCTAATTTTGGTGAATATTTTTGTCATTTTTGATAAAAAGTGATATTTTAGACTACTTGTTAAAAACCACAATCATTTATGGTGAAAAATGATATTTTTGAATTCTTGTTGAAAACAGCAAGTCTAATAGCATTGATACTATGCATATTGTTCATTTTCTAATGATATCTTCTGTTCTTTAATTGAAATGTGCATTGCTAACAGGGAAGCTATCTCAGCCGAGAGGCTGCTTGTTTAAATTAGCTACATCATGAATTAGCAAAATTATGGATTACCTTTAATTAGCTAAAATGACATGATAGCTAAAAAGACATGGTTTACAGTATGTTTTTTTGTATCAGCATCAGTCTTTGTATATTAGGCCACTGACATTTAAAATTATTTGTGTTCTTACTTTCTGCCTAATGTCAATGTAATATGTACACGAGACATGAAAACGTTTTCTTTTTTGTTTCATCTCTAGTTACATCCCCGATATGATACCATGCCACGAATTGCTAATCTTGGCGTCCTGTTAATTGAATTTTTTGAGCTATACGGTCGCCTTTTTAACTATCACAAGACTGGTATACGTGTCCGAGATGGTGGCTGTTATATACCTAAAGAAGAACTTATGAAAGACATGACGGACGGCTACAGACCATCCCTCCTGTGCATAGAGGATCCTCTCCACCGTGGTGAGTTCATATGTCTTTATTTCATTCTCCAATACTTCGCCACCTCAGGGTTCCCTTTTAATATTATAAAGTCTTAAATATGTCTTGTATCAATTTTACATTTTGGTCTTTAAAAGATCGTAAATGTACATCAATTAATGTCTTTCTTCGCTAGTACATAAGCTTTTTAGCTCCACTGTCATCTAGACTAGAGAGAACCTGTTCATATAAGTAATTGTCCATTGTTATGTAGTTACTTTGGGTGGACCTCTGTCAGTTTGTTCATTGCATGACGATGTCTTCAATTGTCTGTTTTTGGCAAATATTTTTGTAATTTTTTGGTAAAACATTATATTTTTGAATTTTTCTAGAGAAGTATTGCTTTGATATTTGAGGTGTACATTATTTTTGTGAACAATTTTTCAGGATTTTGCTGATAAGTGGTTGCTAAGTTACTTCCTGTATTGCATTTTCTAGGTCTTGAATTTATCCTCAATTGGTCTTAAAAACCATAGCATTGTTGTTGTTTACAAACAAACATCTACACAAGCCTTTGTTTTTTTAGCATGTATGATGCCCATGTATGCATCCGTGACAACCCCTCCACTTTAAGTCGTTACAAAAATTCATTTGAGTAATATAAAAGATGTATTTTATCAGGCATCTGGGTAATTTGCTTAAAATAAATTTGTTTAATGCCACGCCCGAATGCTCAATGTACTCAATCTGCTGGTTTTTTTTTTACGTTTATTCTGATTTGATGCATTGTAGGCAACGACATTGGCAGAAGTTCTTATGGAGCATTAAAAGTACAAGAAGCATTTGATTATGCGTATAGTATTCTGAGTCGAGGTACCTTTATGCCATCTCATGGACACAGGTAAATAAATAGTCTATGCATATTGCTGTTTCAATCCTGTTAAAATTTCCATAGTCTGTACTAGTAGTTTAGTTGCATTTCTACTGTATTGTGTAACTTCATTAAGTATACCTAGTTTAAAGTCTCCATGTGTGTTCAAGTTTAGTGTAGAGTAGCAATGTATCTTAACCATGTTGTATTCGTTTCATGGATCATTAAAATAGTTGTTGAAAAGCAATTCCTTGTTCATATGCACAAATGTTATGTCAGTTCCAAAGTACTATATATGCTTTGATATATTTTGTTGACACAGAAATTAATTATTCAGTTTATATGTATATTCTAACATTTTACCCCGTTTGTATTTTAGCTATTTAGCTATTTCACTTTAAATGTTGACCCTAAGCAAAATTGCATTTATATGTTGATCAAACATTGAAATAGGATACAGGAGCTGTCCAGAGTGCTTACCCGGACAACTTCTGTAGTTGTTAAAAAGGGATATAAAGGGGTGACATCAATGGTGGTGAACTAACGAATACATTTGAATTGTGTTTCAGTATATTGGGTCGTGTTGTGAGAGTTACGAATGAGGTGGTGACATACCGTAATTGGATACAGTCTAACTGGAGTCCTCCCCCTCCTACATATGCTGCAGTGGCTATGAGGACTCCTCCTCTGGCTGACCAGCAAAACAGAATCATAACTACAGAGAACGTACTGAGTTCCACGGAAGTGGAAAGCTGCAGCAGCAGCAGTAACAGCAGCAATCACTCTTCAGCGTCGTCAACTACATCATCAGTTACATCATCAGAATCATCATCGTGTAGTGACACGGTATGTTAAGCAAATAATTCATTATTACTGTTTTCTATTAATATTAATATCACTAAGCATCAGGAAATACCAGAACAGGTGCTTTGTGCTTTTTGTAGTGTAGGCTTTTGTCACTGTGCCATCAGAGTTTGCTGGCAAGAGAATTTCTACAGCCAACATTTGTATTTTCATTGTATTCATGGTAATTGCTTGTCCTAAGGTGGGATTGCAGACTGTAGTACAGGAAAACTACCATATGAACATATAAAGTCTACTTAGTATTACACCATTGTGAAAAACATTCTCTTTGGGGTTGAATTAATAGTCAAAACACTCACATGTGCTTTTTCTTTCTTTTTTTCTTTTTTTGGCGGGTTTACAGGAATCTGAACCATCACCAAAGTCCTCATCAGAGTTGAGTAGTAGTAGCAGTTGTACTGATCTATCATGTACCAATAATAATATTTCCAAGTTAGCCCTGCAACCAAGCTGTCGTCAGGTGAATCCCAGGCACCAGTCATACAGCAAGACACAGATAGCCTCTCCAGCAGACTCTCCACAGCAGAGGTCACAACCACCACCAACATCATCATCCTTGACACATCAGCAATCCCGACATCCCATAGGAAGAAAAGTGTACCATCGACAGAGCCAGTCAACTCAATATTACACCACACAACAACAGGGTACCAGAATTACTGCTACAAATAACAACAACACAACAACCAAGAAAACCAAAAGAAAAAGAAGAGAATGTCCTGTTGTGAACAGTCGATAGGATTCGTGGAAGCCCATCACAGAAGGGCAGTTATGTTGTGTAGCTTTAGTCCTTGCAAGTGTAATTATTCTTGTACGCAAAGACTTGGAGTGCAATATCCAATGGATAGTGTTTACAGTAACTCTCTTAAGTAGAAGACTGCTTGGGAATTAAAACAAATTGGCAGTTGATAAGATTGTGAGCAATTTTGCCGGTCGGATGTGTTTATGACATAAAAATGCAGTGACAAATCAAAAAGGGCAAGAAAAGTCTCCATTTCTTTACCCTGCTGACAAAATACTGACCAAAGCAACCACACCCAAAAATGGGCAACAGGAACTCAAAAAGTGTTTGGAAAAAAAAAAATTAAAAAATCCAAAAAAATTGTATACATGCCTTATGATACAAAGAAACTAATATTGTATTAGAGAAAAATTTAAAAGTTTATTTTCTCGCCCATTGTGGTGACCACCCTCCCCTACCAAATGTCCCATGTATGTACGACAATATTGGGAGATGGGGGTGACATGTTTTATGTGCAATGCACTTTTTGGGGCATCTATTTTGTAGTCGACCTCCCTCAGTGACTTGGTTGATCTGAAATTATGTAACTACAAGAATTCAATACAAGAAAACAAACTTTAGTATGATTGTACAATTACAGCTGAATGTTGTCTTTGTTTGATTTACATTGTTGTGTACTTATGTGGAACAAGAGAGGTATCTTTGTCAAAAAAAAATACAACACAGATTTTTTTTTTCTTAAAGAAATGTAGAGAGGAGGTTTTGGATTGAGCTGTAATTACCTACCAGTTGTAGAATTTTTCAATATTCATCATGTATCTAGTTTAGTTCTTGCCTCAAGAGCCCATAGTTGTCACTTCAGTGCTGTAGTGACCAGCCAGTGTGTTACATGAAGGAATATTGTCTGAAATACATTAATAAGTAAACTTACTGAAATTATGTGCAGTTCAATTATAAGATGAGGATTACACAGTAATGTTACAATAATCAAGTGAAGATATTCAACTTGCTCCCCCGTTGTAGGAGACAGTGGTCTAGTGTTGTACATACATGTAGAGATTCTATTCTTCATAGGATTAAGGTTGGACCACATAAATACTTGTTGACAGTGTAATAAACATGCTCACATGCTTATAAGGCATCATTTTCGTTCCTGTTCTAATCATTTGCTGTTAATATGTATCTGTATCTGTATAAATGTATAAAAAAAAGCTTTGTATAATATGCAATCGCACGGTTGTAAAAGTTAATTTTTTTTTTATCTTCAGACTAGTAATTCTATTTTTTTTTGTTCATCTGTTATATTTTTACTTTGTAAATGTATATTTTTTGACCAGTTGCAATCTTTCCGTAAAGGGTGTTACATTTTACTTATTCCGTTTTGTTCAACCCATCATGTATGCGAATTTTTTCCATCTTTCTCCCAAACACTAGTGTTTGCTTTCCTCTCTACCGACTTCATTGTTCCATAATATTTGTTATTTTGTGTTTACTTTTAATTTTCTCACTTTTTTTCCTGAAAACTCTGATGTTAAAAAACATGGTATTTTGACATCACAAGAAAGATGCGTCTTGTTTTAAGTGATTTTAGTTATCCTATATAGTTTTATCAACTCACACTTTGATATAAAAAAAATTGTATAAAAAAAAGTTAAAAAAAAAAAAGAAAAGTGTTTTAAGATGACAAATCAAGGTGCCTGAAGAGCTATTGCTGTTCACACAACAAAAAAATGGATTTCGACCATTTTTTTCTTTTTTTTTTTTGAGAAAAAAGAACATATATTACAAGGCCTAGTATATTAAGTAATTACTGTGAAACTAATCAGTTGTATGTTATCACATTTTAAATGATAGAATTAGATTTGTATTTCTTTCAACCATTCTGCATTAGCAATTTTGACAAATTCTACCACAGTAGTGTAATGTGTGTTATATTGCTTGTACTTTGTTGTTCAATTGTTGCAGACCAGTTTGTCTCCCACTGTTTATTATAATAACGTTTTTTTTGCCCACATGTCACTGCCTAAAGATGATTTATTGCATTCATAATACCGTACTGATGTGGTTTGTATCCAGTCCTATCATTGAACAGATTATTGCAATGTTCACTAGTGTTATCTACTGCCCATATTCTGATGTGGAAATCCTCAGCCCAGTATTATTCTCGCCATTGAAGATTTCATGTCCAAACTGCAGGCCAGTCATTCGACAGGGTTTTTCCCCCCATCAGATAGAATTACAAGCCACTTTCTTTCAGTTAAACTAACAGACCACAATAATTTCAGCAGATGTGCATTAAGAACAACATTTATATTGAGTTTTTATATTATTTTATTTACAGGGAAAACACTTTGTACTGAAATAGTTTTGTCAAGTTTAAATATAACCTTTTATTTTTGTTCACTTTGTACATTGACTTTGTTAGATCAATTTGTTTGTTTGAATTTCTGTTAGCTTTGGTCTTTTCATGGTTTACAGATGTTTACTTTGTAAGGTTTACAGAAAAGTTTAATTTCAGCCTTGTCTCTCTCGTGGGTCTTTCATACTGAATTGAAGTTGATCACTATCCACATCTCATTCTTGTAGTATTTGTTTGAAGGTAAGCTTTATGCTCATTCTCATGTTACTATTAAACCAAATGCGCTTGACATACAATGAGGCTATTTTGAGTTACCTACCAATAGTTTCAGGGAAATTTATAAGAGAAAAAAAACTAATGTACTGTAGTTCTGATTGTGCGTTCCAAGATTATGTGCAATGGTATGTAACCTGCATAAAGTCAAAAAATGGGAACATATTTTTATTTTTATTCAACCTTGCATAATGCATTTCATTTCATTATTGGTGTACAAAGTTGTCTTCTTTACAAATTTGATTCCAAAGAAAAAGCAAAAAAAATTCTTTTTTTTAAAAGCAGAATAAAACCATTTTATCAGCATTTAACTAGTTCTTAACGAGCAGTTTTTCCTTTAACAAGAATAATTAATGGAAATAAGTGTTTATGATAAAACTTCTTAATTCAGGGAGAGAGGGGGTGTCCACCTTGATGAAATCAGCTTACATGTACCTGCTTGTTTGTTTTCCCCACCTGTTTAATGTATTTTATTTTTCATTTTTGTTGTGATTTCCATTCTGTGGATGTTAAGAAGCCTGTCCAATACTGACATTTAGTTGAATACTATAATTTTATATTCTATTTGTTCCCCCTTCTGTCACTAAATGGCCTAATTTTTTTAAGACAATAAAATATTCTTTTTTCTCAGAACAAATTTCTTAAGTGTTTTATTTGTGTGTGGCAGTGGGTATAAAGTGCTTCTGTGTTGACAAGATACAATGGACTGGCAACCTGTGAAACCAATAAACCCATTGGCCAGTTGTGGTTGCAGTCATTGTGTCCCATACTATACATGTTGGTCAAATGAGTTTGACACACAAAATGAATGCAATGTCTTGTCTTCACTCTTTAGATTTTAAATTGTTCCAACAAAAATCTTAGAGAGAGGGGTGGGGGGTTAATAGTGAATATTTTGAATATCCATTACATGTGATGCAATAAGGGACGAGGTCAAAAGATCGATGTCGGATAAAAAACTTGTTTCCTTTAGTTTGGGGGTGGGGGGTTTTGACCGCAAAAAGTTTCCATCCTACAAAAACGATTTTATTTTTTAATGAAGTCAAAAAAATCTTGGAGTATTTGTAGTTCGTTTTTTTCTATCCAATCATGGACAGAAATAACCGAAAAGGGAAAAAAACCCAGAAAAATGGTTTGGTTTGAGTGTAAATCTGTGCGTCAAATGAGGTGCATTTGTAAAATCTTTTTACACCCACCCGACAACCAACTGCTATGCAATACTACTGTCCGATTATCAATTTGTATTTAATGGTGAATGTAGTCTGACGCCATGACCAATATTTATCAATTAAGTTTCAGTGGGGGGTA